GGTGGCAGTGAATGATTTTCTGTCTTCATTTCTTGGACCTTATTTTTCTCTATGCTTGGATTTCCTTGCTTGACTTTTCTTTCTCTTTGACATGTGGTCTCAAAGAGAACACTCACCCAGGCTGAATGTTGTGGTGTCATCAGGGTTCACTGCAGCCTCCTCCTCGCAGGCTCAAGCAATCCTCCCACCTTAGACTCCTGAATAGCTAGGATTACAAGGAGGCACTACCACACCTGGCTAGTTTTTTATTTTTTGTGGAGACAGAGTCTCATCATGTTGCCCAGGCTGGTTTCAAACTCCTAGATGAAAGCCATCCTCCCGATTTGGCCTCCCAAAGTGTTGGGATTACAGGTGTGAGCCACAGCACCAGGCTGCTTGACTTTCTCAATTTTTATTTTGCCTCTTCCGGAGCCTTCACACGATCAGCTCTAATTTTATTTCTCAGAGGTTCTTCTTCTTCTTCCCTGTGTGTATATTAATCAGGTACATAGATCAAGAAGACTTCAGAGTTTTTAGCCACTTTGCCAGCAGCTACATGAGGAATTAACACATCGTCTAAACCCAGATCAAAGCGTTCGTGTTTTGAGAAGCCTAGAAGGAAAAAGAATGCCCCCAAACACAGAATGATGAAGGCACTAAAATTAAGTGTCTTCTTAGAAAGCCTCAATAAGTGTCTTCTCAGGAGCCCTGTGATGTGGGAGGGAGGGCAGCCCCGGGTTCAAAAGTGGGATCCCATGTCTCGAGAGGGCAGCAAGGCTGGGGTAGTCATCGTTTATGCTCTTGGAGACAATACTCCATAAAGTTCTCATCTTATAGCAAATGCACGATACGTTAACTATCTTCAGAATCTTGGCAAAAATGGGAAAACTCAATTTCGCTCCACTTAAAGGACTGCTGCTTCTTCACAGGCACCTCTTTCACGTTCCACCAATTCCATTCAGAAACCTGCATGACCTCCCTGCCTCCAATGATCACAAGCTTAGGTCCTGCGAGATCTCGTTTACCCTTTGACTTTCAGGATCCTCGGGGTTATCGGAAGTCTCTTCATTTCTAGGGGTATATAAGAGAAGCCACACTGCAAAGGAGCCGCCCCTTGGGGAGGTGCTGAAAGGTGGTCTTCCGCCCCAAATGGGAACCTGGCTAAATCGGAGGAATTGCAGAAGGTTCTCCAGCTCCTCTAGTGCTTCTATTCCAGAATCTCTTAACCTTCGTGGTGGAATAATAAGGGTCTCCACCGAATCCTGCAAACAGGGAGGAAGGTCTCCCTCCCCCGGAGGCCAAGGCAGCAGCGCTGGGGGTAGGAGCAGGAAGGAACCGGCAGCCCGCGCTTCCCAACGCTGCCGGGCAGGCTCCCGCGCCGAGCAAAACTCCGAGGCTGCCGCTGGGCAGTCGCGTCCAACGTACCTGAGCCCAGCCTGCAGCAGTCAATGTCGCCGCCGCAAGGGCCTGTCCCGGCGCACTTTCCTTCTGTTGCAGCCCCTCAGAAGCCCGGAGTGCAGGCAGGGGAGGCGCGGCGGGCACCGCGGCCAGGTCAGTTCGTCAGCTGCCTGCTCCCAAGCGAGGTGCCGCCGACCCCGCCGCGCCCGACCGAGCCCCGCGCTCCGCAGCGTGGGAAGGAGCCGAGCTGCGGCCCTAGCTCCGACAGCCCGGGGCCGGCAACTACCCCATTCCTCCTGCAGCCGTGAGGCCGCGGGTGGCCCGGGCGCTGGCGAGCAGCCGCTTCTCGGGCAGGCAGAGGCCGACTCCGGGTCCTCAGCCAGCCGCCGTGTGGGCCTCCTCTGCACTGCCTCCCGTGGCGCCCGGATCCGCCTGGCTGCGGCTGCTTCTCCAGGTCCGCTGGGCGCGGAACAGCTGCGGGACGACACGCGCTGGACGCACGCGCGGAGGAGCCGGAGGGGGGGGGTGGGGGGTGGGGGAAAGGGGGAGGGCGGTGATGGGACGCAGCGGGATCCCGCCCCCGACCTGCGAGTGGCGGGTGCCGGCGGCGGAGCGTGGGATGCTTTCCCGACTCGCGAGTGGGCGGTGCCGGCGGCGGAGCGTGGGGCGCTCTCCCGGAGTCCATAGCTAAGTGACGCCGCCCTAGGTTTACCTTTCTCTGTCGGTTTCATTTCTCTTTTTATTACGTCCTCCGGGTCAGACACACTGTCAAAAAGATGGCAGTTTCTGCCTTCCTCTGGCTATTTCATTAACTATATATCCCGCATTTTCTGTATCCAGTCATCCCTCTGTGGATTGATAGGTTGTTTCTGTGTCTTGGCTAGTTTAAACAATGCCGTAATAAATAAAAAGTGCAGTTATCTGTTTCCTTCAGATACCTACCCAGAAGTGAGTTGTATCTTTAACTTTTTAAGGAACCTCTATATGTTCATACGTCTGCACCAATTTGCATTCCCACCAAGAATGTACAAGGACTTCCCTTTCTCTGCACGCTCTGCATCACTTGTTCTCTCTTGTGAGGTGTTGATGACTAATTTTAGTAATCGTCATTGTAACAGAAGTGACGTGATATCTCATTGTGGCTTTGATTTGAATTTCCCTGATAATCAGTGATGTCAAGCACCTTTGTGTATTTATACCTGTTAGTGATTTTTTAAATTTTCTTGAAAAAATGCCTATTCAGATGATATAACTTGTTTTTATTTGGGTGGTTTACTTTTTTGCTATTAGGTTGAGTACCATATATAGTTTGAATATTAACCTCTCATTAGATTATGGTTTGCAAATATTTCTCTTATTCTGTGGGTTACCTTTTCATCTCCTTGATTAAGTCTTTTGCTGTGCAGAAGCTTTTCAGTTTGATGTAATGCCATTTGTCTATTTTTTGTTTTTTTTGCCCATGCTTTGTGGTATATCCAAAAAATCTTTGCTAAGACAAATGTCAAGGAGCCTTTCTCTGTTTTGTTTTGTTTTTTTCCTAATATATGTTTTCTTTATATTCTTCTAGGAGTTTTACAGTTTCATATCCTACACTAAACCTTTAATCCATTTCCAATTGACTTTTGTATATGGTGTAAAATAAGGGTCTAATTTCTTTTCCTTCCTCCCACTTTCTTTCCTTCCTTCTTTTGTTTTTTTCTCCACTTTTTTTTTTTTGCATGTGAATATCTAGTTTTCCAAACATCATTTATTGAAGAGACTATCCTTTTTCCATTGTCTTCTAGGCAACTTTGACTGAAATAAATTGATATTAAATGTGTGAGTTTATTTATGGGCTCTTTATTCTGTTCAATTGATTGCTATGTCTTTTCTTATGTCAGTATCATGCTGATTTGGTAAATATAGCTCAACAATATAATCTAAAAACAGGAAGAGTGATGACTCCAACTTTGTTCTCTCTCAAGAGTGCTTTGGCTATTTAGAGATTTTTGTGGTTCCACACAAATTTTAGAATTATATTTATTTGTTTGAAAAATATCACTGGAATTTTTACTGAATTTGCAGGTTGCTGTAAGTAGTATGGTAATTTTAACAATATTAATCATAAATGTGATATATATTGTCTATTTTTGTCTTCAATTACTTTCAATATTTTATAGTTTTGAGTGTCTAGATCCTTCAAACCCTAAGTTAAACATCTTCCTAATTTTTTTTAAATGCTATTTAAATTAAATCGTTTTCTGGACTTCTTTTCAGGTAGGTCGTTATGCTGTAAAGAAGTGCAGTTGATTTTGTGTGTTGATTTTGTACCTAAAGCAACTGATTTTGTGTGTTGATTTTGTATTTATTCATTAGTTCTAACTTTTTTTGTGGAATTTGTAGGATTTTCTATGTATAGGATCTTGCTATTTGTAGGGATAATTTTACTGCTTGTCTTCTAATATGAATGTCTTGTATTTCTTTTTTTTTCCAAAACATTAAAAAAAAATTTTTTCTGTATCTATTGAGATAACCATATGGTTTTTATCTTTCATTCTGTTAATATTTTATATCATATCAACTGATTAGTCTATGTTAAACCAACCTTGCATTCCAAATTGCTCTTGCTGGTACTTCTAGTACTGTGTTGAAAAGAAGTGGTGACAGTGGGTGTTTTTGTCTTGTTCCTGATCTTAGAGGAAAAGCTTTCAGTTTTCCCTGATTGTTATGTTAACTGTGAGTTTCTCATAAATGGCCTCTACTACATTGAGGAAATTTTCTTCTATGTCTAATTTGTCAGGAGTTTTTATTATCAAAGAATATAATTGTTTTCTTTTTTTTTCTGTATCTACTGAAATAACCATGTGGTTTTTATCATTCATTCTGTTAATGTGTTGTATCATACTGATTGATTTCTTTATGTTAAACCAACCTTGCATTCCAAAGATAAATTTCACTTGGTCAAGTAGTATGATCTTTTTTATATGTTGCTGAATTTGGTTGTTTTTTTAAAAAAAATTTTTTGTTGTGTTTTTAAAAATGAAACCACAAAGCAATACTCTAATGAACACAGATAAAAAAATTCTCAGTGACATGGTGAGTTTTGAGAGCACAACTTTCCTGATAGCTTTAAGTATAAACACTGGATTCAGACTGTCTCTGGATACCAGTCTTATCTTATTTGAATAACAGCTGCCTGATATTTGTCAAATTACTGAACTCCTCTGAATCTTAGATGCATCATCTGGAAAATAACAATAATAGAGGTTTGAGAAACAAATGAGATAATTAATACAAAACACTTATCACAGTGTATTTTACAAAGTAAATGCATTTGTTGTTACTTTCAGCAGCTGATGGAAGCTACATTCATCCAGACTAGCATAGCCCAATATGCAGAAGCCTATGACTAGTCTGAAATTTCTACCCCTCTTTCCACCCATCTTTACTTCCTTACATTTATGACACTTCTGTTCTTAGGTGCATTCTAGTTCCAACTGATGAAAGTCTTACTTTTGTCCTACTTTCCCCCAATCATAGAAATTCTTTTGTTTGCTGATTTAGCTGGAATATATAATGATACTCCTTTTTTATTTGAATGCAGAATCATTCAATTCTCTTCTTTCTCCCTCCAGGGATTCACTCTAGTTTCATCTTCATGTCAGGAGACATGCTTCAACCACATGTCTTTTTCTGGAAGAAATATTTTACCAGTTGTACTTGCTCAAGGCAGGTCAGCCATAGAGCAGAATTGAAGATATGGATACTCCAAAGAAGAGATAAAGTGTGGACAGGGAAAAAAGGTAGGGAGATGTTTATCAAAATCATGGGATTAACCTTCCTGGACATGGAAGGTTAATCATGAGCCTCCCTTATAGTAATATGCTGATTTTACAGAACAAGGAGGTGTTGACAAAAAAAGTCAAACTCTGTAAAATGTTTGAAGATATTTATTGAGTGCCAAACATAAGTGACCGTGTCCCATGACACAGCCCCCAGGAGGTCCTGAAAACATGTGCCCAAGGTGGTTGGAGTGCAGCTTGGTTTTATACATTTTAAGGAAGCATGAGACATCAATCAAATACATTTAAGATATACATTGGTTTGGTTCAGAAAGGGGGGACAACTCAAAGCAGGGAGGGGCTTCCAGGCTATAGGTAAATTTAAACATTTTCTGGTTGACAGTTGATTGAGTTTGCCTAAAGACCTGGGATGTTAGAAAGGAAATGTTCAGGTTAAGATAAATGGCTGTGGAGACCTAGGTTCTTTTGAATTCTTATAGCCGTGGCCTTTAGAGACTTTAGAGACAATAGATGACAACTGTTTCCTATTCAGATATTTAAGAGGTGCTAGACTTTTAGTTATCTCTTCAGGATTGGGAGAGCCTGGAAGAAAAAGATCTAGCTATGTTAATAGAGACTCTTTACAGATGCAGATTTTCCCCCCACAAAGGATGTGCAGGGCCATTTTAAGATATAGCAGAGAAACACGTTTTGGGATAAAATATTTTAATTTTCTTTCTTGTCTTGTACTGTTATGCCAGAGTCAGATTAGAAAGTAAGTCACAATATATTGAGTTAAATAAAACCTATCTGATGAGAATTTGTGGTTTTTAGGACCATAAATTCTCTCCAGACCCCTTAGATAGGAATTCGGGGAAGATGAAAAGAAATCAGAGCTTAGTCTTCAGAGATGATATGAAAGAGGAAGAAAGAGAAAAAGAAAGAAGGAAGGAAGGGAGGGAGAGAGAGAGAGAGGGTGAGAGAAAGAGAAGGGAGGGAGGGAGGGAGGGAGGGAGGGAGGGAGGGAGGGAGGGAGGGAGGGAGGGAGGGAGGGAGGAAGAGTGCAGTGGCACTATCTCAGCTCACTGCAACCGCCACCTTCCTGGTTCAAGCATTTCCCCTGCCTCAGCCTCCCGAGTAGCTGGGATTACAAGTGCACACTATCACCCTGGCTAATGTTTTTGTATTTTTAGTAGAGATGGGGTTTCACCATGTTGGCCAGACTGGTCTCAAACTCCTGACCTCTGGCATCCACCCACCTTGGCCTCCCAAAGTGCAGGGTTTACAGGTGTGAGCCATGATGCCCAGGCTCAGTAAAGACTCTTTTCTGTTCTTGAAGCCAGTAATTTGCCTAGTTGCTTTCTCTAATTTGTGTGTCTGGCAGGAACTGAGAAAGAAGGAATTAGGTTTGAAATTCTAATGTAAAGCTCAAATATTTATATCCCCTTTATATCTGTATCTGTGATTAACTCTAACATTCATCAAATCTATAAAGTTCATCTTTTTAGCTACCTGTATCCACTTTTTGACAATATTTATGTTTGGAGTCCTACATTTTTGTGAAGAGTTCGGTCCTGAGTAATATTTAAACACTTTCCTTATTTTGTGGATATCGTTATAAGCTCTTATTTACCAATCAATAAGTGTTTAAAGCAAGATTAGTGTTAAACTGTCTTGTCCTGTTCCCACAATTGTTACTATTCACTTGGGGTGGTGGCAAAATATTACAGAAAATATTTAGGGAATTTTATAGTTTCTAGTATCAAACCTCTTGGAAGGCTGAAAGGTTTTACTGGGGTAGACCTAAGGCAGCTGGCCAGTCCACTAAGTTAGGGAGAGGAAGAGATGATTAAAGGCCTTCCCAGTTTAAGTCAGTTTAACCCACACCCATTTGTCTCCACTCTGTTTACTCATGTTAATTTTGCCCTGGGTGGCCTCTCCCAGGAAGATCAAAGGGGAATTGCCTGTTAATAACATTTACTCTGGGCCTCAGAACCTAAAGCTTTTATCAGTCATAAAACCATGTTAATTATCCACAAGTGTATTAACCTAGAACCTCTGTTATGAATAAAATTGTGAACAGACGGAGGGTCTGAGTTGATTGGTTGCATTTCGCCCTCAGAAAGCAGCCAACGTCCATCCCTAGCCCACTATGTCACTGTAATGGTGTGAGAGTGCATTCATTCATTCGTCATTGAGTCAGAGTCTGCAGGTCAGACTTCCACAGGTAGCGAAGACCCACGTCTCACACAATGGAGCAAATGCAGGATAGGTTTCAAGGGATTAAGCACCTTAGATATGCCCTGGATTGTTTAATTAACCATGACATCCGAAGGTGCTATAATTACCACCACCACTGGATGGTTTCTCATCAATTAAAGGTCTGCTAATGGAGAACATTCTTCATTTATCTTCATCTTTGCAGAAGAAAACTATGGTTATAAAAAATATATATGCATTGCAGCAGGATTTTAGCACCCAGTGAGAAACACAGCTAACATTTAGAGACCCTTCCCTGAAATGAAGAACTAAATATTGAGTCTTTCTCAGAGATGATGCAGTTTTTTACAGCAACAATAAAAATGGCAGAAAGCTGTGTTTAAGGCTCTGAGGGAAATCCGTTTTGGTGAGAGAGCATTAGGCAGGAGACAGGAAGTCAATGTTAGAGGCTGTACTCGTGTCACCCATCTCTTCTCCCCTTTGGCTCTGGACCAAGAGGTTTTATTTTTAAGGGTGTACAATGAGAGGAGTTTGGAGGGAAATTGAAATTTTTAGGGAGGAAGAGCAGATAACTGTATATAAGACTAACATCAAATATATATTTTTTGATGTAACGATTGAAAAATCTTGTTTAGGCCGAGCGTGGTGGCTCACGCCACTAATCCAAGCACTTTGGAGGCCAAGGCAGGCAGATCACCTGAGGTCAGGAGTTCAAGACCAGCCTGACGAACATGGTGAAACCTCGTCTTAAAAAAAAAAAAAGAAGAAAAAGAAAAGAAAAATCTTGTTTTAATTTGAAACACTCTCAAAAAAAAAGTAAAGGTAGTGGCTTGGGGGAGAAGAAGAATTGTGCCAGATCTAGCTACTCTAGCCTGATATGTCTGCCCTACTTCTTTTACCCTGGCCCCTTTCTCTACTCAGTCCCTTCTCTACTTGTTCCTGTTGACAGAAATGTCTCCATATCTGAGCTTTTATTGAAACGTGTGGGTTTGTTCTTCCTGGGCAAATAGTGGAAGCTTTTGCTAAACAGTCTTTTGTTTACCCTGAAGACTTTCTCGGAACATTGCATCCACCTAGGATCTGTTAGATGACATGTGCTAGTGTTGTTGACCTACCAAGACTTTTTCTAGCTATGGGATGATGAGCTGTGTGAACAAACAAGCCAGTTCTTTCGAGGATCCCCAAATTATCTATAAAACTCATATAATTTGGAGTATTCTTATGTATTGCTCAAAATGCAGGGTTTCATACAATCATATTGTATTCAAACTTAAAAGGTCTGTCAGATTCTTTTTCACTCATTTTACAGAGGTGAGAATGGGAGCATGGCAAAGCATTTTCCTTCAGTTCTCAGGGATAATCTGAGAGGCTTGAAGACCGATTCTCAGCCTTTGCTGATCCAGTGCTCATCATTCTCCCACATATCCAAGAACAGAAGGCCACCCCTGGGCTTGCGGGTGCTTCCTCAGTTTCAAACAAAAAATATCTACTGTTCCCCCTGGGCATTCATGCTCCTGGAGAGCCAAATAGTCACTTGCTCCTTTAGGAGGATTGACTCCCTTCCTGTGTTCTAGCCTGGGCTCTCATATGAACCATCCTCTGGGTGTGGTGGCTCATGCCTGCAATCCCAACATTTTGGGAGGCCAAGGTGGGTGGATCGCCTGAGGTCAGGAGTTCAAGACCAGCTTGGCCAATATGGCAAAACCCTGCTCTACTAAAAAATACAAAAAATTAGCTGGGCATGGTGGTGGGCACCTGTAATCTCAGCTACTCAGGAGGCTGAGGCAGGAGGCAGGAGAATTGCTTGAATCTGGGAGGCAGAGTTGCAGTGAGCTGAAATTGTACCACTGCACTTCAACCTGGGCAACAGAGTGAGACTCCATCTCAAAAAAAAAAAAAAAAAAAGCAAAAAAAGAACCGTCCCCTGATGGGTGAAGCACATATTATTTATTATTTCCAGGTGGAAGTCAGGATACCGGGGTGAGACTGTCTGTTGGGATTCTAAAAACGGCATGTGCTGAGCGATGGGTAAGAGGTTCAGGCACAGCAGATTTTCTTCCTCTCTCTCGGCTCTGAGACCTCAGAAAATCTTATTTAATTTTCCAATCTTCAGTCTCCACACCAGTAAACAAAGGTAATAATATAACAGGATACCTACCTTAAAAAACAATAGAGATTTTTACAAGTTGAATGGTTGCAAAATGCCCAACACTTAGTAGTGAATATAGAAACTACTATTTTAAGGATCTTGTATGAATTATCTGAATTTTGTTATATGAGTGAAATAATCAGTCAGCCAAGTGGGTCTCGGATGACGAAGCTCACTGAGGCCACAAAGTTGAGCTCTGCAAAGTTTCCTTAGGACAGGATCATTTTTCTCCCAGACTATCAGTCAGGTCCTTGATGCCTGTTCATTTATTTAGTACTTACTGTATACTGCTCCATAAGGTGACATTGCAGAACTCAAACTAGCACCCAGAAGAGGAACTTAGAGGGTCAAGAAACTAAGGGGAACTTTCTTAGGAAATTACACTGAGCAGGTGGCTTTTGTTCAGTCTGGAAAGCTTATGACCCCAAGTGGACATCAGTGGACAAATTGAGCTACCATTTGTGAACTCTTAGTGTGTGCCAAGAAATATATTGAAGTCCTAGTTCCATTAAGCTTTTCACCCTCACAAGGTCTGCTAAAGTAATGACCGTTATCATTAGCCCTGGATTTCAGTGTAGAAGGCTCTAAAGGAGGAGACTTGTCTAATAATGTGTGGAGAGTAAATGAAACGGTAGAAGCAAGATAATTACATGGAATAACCATTTGGGGACTCTAGAGGTTTCTATGGAGTTAATACCAAAACTGATTTTGGTTTCATACAAGAAATAGCAAATAGATGACTTCCATTATTATGAAGATAAATATCGGTTCTTGTGAATGAAAGATATACAATGAACTACTAAGGGAGGTAATTGACGATGGGCCAAAGAGAGTGAAATAATCGCTCTTGATGCATCTTGAGGCCTAATTGGTAGACTCAATGGGTTGCAGATTGCTGGGATGCCTTGGAGGCTGTTATCCCAGAATTTAGTAGCTATGGACAGCTCTGGACCACTGATCCCAGCATACCATTGAATTCCCTCTATTTTGTTATTCAGGGCCAAGCTTGGGCTGGCACAAATGGTTATTTTCAATGGTGGTGTGTACTTCTGGAGTCACCTCTGTGACTTCTCTTTCTCAGCATCAGATTCTCCGGTTGGCTCTTAAACTGCAGCTACATCATACAGAGAGGAGCCAGAAAGATGAAACCTTCACAGTCAAGCAAGGAGTCCCACAGACACAATTTCCATTTTCAAGAAGATTGGTGGTATTAATTCTGCTGCAACAACAGCATTCTCTACCCATAGGGAGAGAAAATTGTCATGGCCTGATCATTAATATAGAGCAATTCCAGTCTCCCCGTTTTCACTTTTCTTGTGCTCGTCTGGGCTCTAAAAACTCTCATGAAATCTGGGCAGCTTCTGGTCAACTCCATATACTTAGAGAAAACCAGGTTAATGAATACTGTTTAGTAGACCTGAACATTGCAAAGCTTTTTTTCCTCTGCTAAGGTGGAAAAGACTACAATACAGCTACAAAGCAGAGCTGAGCTTCTCCCACAAACCCCTCACTTCAACACACAGTAGCAGTGAAGAAAGTCTGCACTGAGCTGAATGGGGAATAGCACCGATACCTGCTCTGGTGGACTCACTTAAACCCTTGGGAGAGTACATTCCCATATTTCTTAGACTTACAGATGGGTAAAGAGATGAATGGGATGGACATTAGTTGGTGCAGATTTAAAAATAATTCTGTACCCACAGAACAAGTTCAAATAAAATGTGATGTTGTTATTAAGAACAAGTGATCTCAGCAATGGCCTGAATTGCTAATAATATATTACAGGTCACACATGAGTGAAGTTCACACATGGAGGATGAGTGAAATTCAAGAATTATTTTCTCTTTTAAGTCATTGATCAAGGCAAACAGACCCCTGGAGAAGTCTCTTGGTCTATGTCAGAAAATTGACATAATCACGTCCTGATGTATGAATGTATTTGTTTGGGATGACTCTATAGAAGACCTGTACCATTCATCCCTCCTCCTACTGCAGAATTACAGGTCCCACATCTTATTATGCCAGTATGGAGCTACCAATGCCTAGTGTCTTCACTTTTCTATTAGAATATTTATGGAACTGTAAAGAAAGGTATCATTTTCAGAGCAATCGAGACTTGGACCATTGATACATTTACTAAATTTAGAATTAAGACCAGAAATCAGGACAAATATCCACTAACTAAAGCTCAGATGGAGCATTTCAGATAAGTTAGGGCAAAGATGATAAGATATTTTGATCTAACTGTTTACCTCAGAATCTTCAATCATAGATTTAAAATAATTATGACCTACAGAAGTCACACTCCTGCCCCCACATCCAATGAGTAGGGCCATAACTATTTCATTACCCTTCCCCTCTGTTTCCACCCACAACTCCAATTCCCAGAAATTAAGTAGAAAATAAGCAAAAACAGATTTGGGGGATTGGGAGACAGGAAGCTTAGAACCATGGGTGTAAAGAAACTATTTTCCCCTCTTAGAGCTCTGGGCCCATAATGAGTAGGAAGCACGGATGATCTCAGAAATGCCTCCAGGACAATTTTCCCATTTTCTTGATGATTAGCACCTGGTCCCTTCTATTCCTGCTCATCTCTACTAACCAGTCACTCAGCCACACCCTTTCTGTGTTCTCCCTAACTTGCTTTTCTGTTCTTTACATGGTCAAACTGTGAATTTTCCAAATTTGTATACTTGGCTTCCATTTTAATTACAATTCTGCTTGAAATCATCTCTTTGCTCTCATATCTCACTGTAAGCATTCAAGAGCAGCTGTGTACTATCTTGAACACTTTTCTGCTTAGATTTTTATTTTTTTTGCCTAGCTCACCACTCTTTGGTTCCATCATCCATAATGTCCTAGAACATGGACATAATGCAGCAAAGTTCTTTGCTGCTTTATAACAAGGATGACCTTGATTTCTATCTGTGGCCTTATTATAATGGCCTTTCCTGTACACATTTCTACCAGCATTCTGGTCATGACCACTGAAGTGCTCTCTAATAAGTTCCTGACTGTCCCTCATTTCCTTGTCTCTTATGAATCTTCACAAGAATTACCTCTAATCCTCTGTTCCTGCCACTATATAATGTTAGAGACAGAATGCTTGTTCCTAGGTACCACAAGGAAAAATTAGCATTTATCAAAAAGTTTTCTCTGCAAGACAATTTTACTTTCTGCAGAAAGGGTACTCCCTGTCAGCCATCTTGCCACGAGAGTACAATGAACAAAGGAAAGGCAGGCATATTTATTCCTTACACATTGGGTCCTTACTGCTGTGTTTGATCTCCATTGGTTGGAGCCAGACCTCACAATCTAAACTGAACCTGATTGGCTAACAACTTAAAACTTTTTAAAATAAGTAAAGGCCATGGAGAACAAAGGAAAAGAGGAAATCCAAATACGAAAGAACAAGAAGTTGCTTGCAAAAGGACCTAGAAAAATAATAACATAAATATCTTGGTTAAAGTACAAAGACAGAATGTATTATGTGACTGTGAGCACATCTAGCACAAATATCTTGGTTAAAGTATAAGGACATAACGGAATGCCCTTTTCCCTATATCTAACAGCTACATAGGATAGGGCTTAACAAAAAGTTACTAGCAAAAAGCAAGAAGACTTTGAAGAAAGTTGGTCTTTAAATGAAACTATTATTTTGAACATTTAATACTTATTCTTTAACAAGAAAGGAAACTTTGAAGAGGAACTTTTTACTTTCTACATCCAACATGCTTTTTGAGCTTGTGGCTTCACATTCTTCCAGATTCTACCCATTACCCAATACCAAGCTACCTTCCAATATTCAGGAATTTTTATAGCAACAATCCCACATCTCAATACAGATTTTCTGTCTCAGTCCATTTTCTGTTGTTATAACTGAATACCACAGATTAATTTATTTTTAAAAATAGATGTTCATTTAGCTCTTAGTCTTGTGACCACCAAGTTCAAGAGCATAGCACCAGCATCTGGCAAGAGCCTCCATGCTGCACCATACTATAGTGTAAGATGTTCACATGGCATGTAGGTAAGGGTGTGTCTGCTCAGAACTTATTTCCTCTTCTTATAAGAAGTCCACCAGTCTCATCATGGGGCCTCAGCCGAATGCCCTTCTGTTATCCTAATTACTGCCCCATTAAGGCCCCATTTGGTCCCACCTCTTAATACTGTCACAATGACAGCTGAATTCCAACATGAGTTTTGGAGGAGGCACTCAAACCATAGCAGTACTCATACACTCATACCCTTTCACTGTATGAAAGAATATTGCAGTTATTTCATCTTTAAATCTGATTGTGGGAAAGATCTATTTCTGACACATGGAAAATCCATGCCCCAGTCTCTCAGATGAGAACCAAGTCCCAGGGATTTTCCTTTAAGTCAGCATCTCTGCTCATATTACAATTTCATTCAGTGGATACGTATTCTTAAATCTACTTTTCATTTAACTGATCTTCCCCCAAGATGGTTTCAGATAAAAAGCTGGGCCTTATGGGACAGAATTGCTTCATGAATTCAGCACTGATTTTCTCTTCCTGTCACATTTTCTGCAGATAATAAGGAGAGAGCTTTAATATAGCACCCTCCACACTGCCATCTGGGGAAATACTTAATCAACACACCCTCCCAGACAAATGGGCCATCAAATGTTTTAGAGATGGATAGAATATTCAGGCCACCCCAAATTACTGGGCTTGGCTTCTCTGTTTTTTCATTATTATTTCTATTCCCCCCTGCCTTTTTTTTGGAGACGGAGTCTTGCTCTGTCACCAGGCAGGAGTGCAGTGGCGCAATCTCGGCTCACTGCAACCTCTATCTCCTGGGTTCAAGCAATTCTTCCGCCTCAGCCTCCTGAGTAGCTGGGACTACAGGCGGGTGCCACCAAACCCAGCTAATTTTTGTATTTTTAGTAGAGATGGGGTTTCACCATGGCCGGGATGGTCTCGATCTCTTGACCTCGTGATCCGCCCACCTCGGCCTCCCAAAGTGTTGGGATTACAGGCATGAGCCACCGCGCCTAGCCTCTATTCCCCTTTTTTGTAGTCTCTTTGCTCTAATTGAACTATGCTTATAACACACGTCTTTTATGCACATAGCTCAAGCGCCTTAATGAGTACAAAGCTGCTAGTACTCAGCATGAAGAGGTGTTTTGAAACCAAAAAGCACGTATTTCTGTCCTTAACAAGGCTTACAATGCTATTCTGATGGGAAGATGGTCTGAATTGTATATAGGTAGGACAGATTTTAAGAGAGGAAATAGAGAAATTTAGAAACTTAAGCATTTTGGTGCCTCTCTAAAAGGGACAAGGATGTCATTCTACACAACTCTGGAGAGCATGATCACATTTCATTCTGTGCCCTTAGCAAACTTAGAGCGTGATGCTCTGGGGAGGCTCCCATTCACTTAGAAAAAAATATGATAGTGAGCATACTTTTAAAATACTCTTTTTATAAAACTCAACATATACTCAGAAAAATTCCAGTTGTGATCTGCTGAAGAGAGAAAGTTTCTGCAAAATTGGAGACCATGTATAGTACAGTATTGTCCCTAGGCGTGTGGAAGTGAGATGTAAGTGCTTTATAAAGATCTCAAGCTCAGCCTCCTCTATGTCTGCCTCCAGGACTCAGCCATCTCTGAGCATGTTTAGAAAGTATATGGTAAGTCCTATGAAATTCCATGTGAATATTTGAGAGCTTTCTGGGACTGGATGTGGCGGCTCATGCCTGTATTCCCAGTACTTTGAGAGACTGAGGCACAAGAATGGCTTGAGGCCAGATTTTCCAGACCAGCCTGGGCAACAGAGCAAGATCTTGTCTCTACTAAAAAGAATAAATAAAAATAAAATTACCTGCAAATGGTGGCTTGTGCCTGAAGTCCTAGCTGCTCAGGAGGCTGATGCGGGAGAATCACTGACCAAGGGAGTGCAAGGCTGTATTAAGCTATGATTGTGCCATTGTACTCCAGACTGGGTGTTTTCAGAAAATTTAAAAAAAATTTTTTTTCTGGAAAGGAAGAAGTCCTAAAGGAAGGCATCAGAAAGAACCAGCTTGACTCAGCTGCAAAGGGTTTGCTAACACAAGTGAGAAATAATTCTGAATACAGAATGAAGTCCAACTCCTGGGAAATTCTTTGGATTCTAGGGAGAGGGCAAGAAACAAGTAAACAGAGATCAATGCCATGAGGTTCATGTGAGATACAGGCATGCAAGCAGGACTAACATGGGGCCAGAGCAGAACAC